GAGTGTTCTGCCCAAAGATTTAAAAAACCAGAATAGTATTCTTGAATAGACAAATCACCTTGTTTGTAGTTGGCGATGTCTAACTCCAACTGAAAACGTTTTGCCGAATTGTCCTGGTTGTAAATGCGCTTCAGATAATTCCACATTTCTTGAGCAGTTGAAAAAGAACGCAAATTATTTATCATCTGAGGATCAATACTGTTTAGAATCCAAGTGATAATTTGAGCATCTTTAGTTTCCCACGCATCTAAAGCAGTTTTCTCCGTTGGTGCCTTAGAAACATCATCTAAGTGACTCCATAATCCCTTTCCTTTAACATACATCTTGAACTGAAATTCCCATGCCGAATAATTCTTGCCGGTAAAACGAACACAAAAATTATCTCTTTCTTTTTCGGAAGCCATCTAAATTATTAAACCACCAGATACAATCTCACTAATATTATTTTATTATTATAATAATAATAATAATAATAATAATAATAATAATAATAATAACTATAATATAATAACAGTAACTGTAATCACAGTTACTAGAGCAGCAACAAGAAACAATACCCACGAACCAACGAGCAACAGCACGATCAAATCCACGATTTGGAAGGAGCGGCAAAATAGAAGATTATGACGATCCAGAATCACGAAGCAACAACAGCCAAGAACCAAAAAAAATTGATTGCAATATCAGCGCAACAACGAGAATCTCCAAGACGAAATCACGAACCGGCAACCAAAGATTTAGAATCTCAGACAGCTGCAAGGTTTCGATTTCAAACGAAAGAATTTCGAAACGAACACGATTACGAGAGTGAACCAGTGGGGTATCGCTGATCAGCCAATATAATAATATTTTCCAGGTTTGATCGAACCTACTGATACCATGTCACGAAATTTGGCTTGATGCCTTTCTCATTGCCTTTCATACTATATATAATAGTGTCGGTAATTACAACTCATAATAACTAATTATAGCTGATAATGACTAATTACAATTCATAATGACTAATTTCCTATTCTATAAATGTAAATTATTCACAATAACTGCAAAGATTATTTCCTAATTAACAGTGATATGTCAAGTGAGGTCAGAATGCAATCTTATGATGTATTCCTACAACATCTGAATCATATGGCAGAAAGAAAAAGGACAATTCCTAAGCCTCACAGTTAATTTTAATGCATGTCTAGTTTCATTCCAAATGTCCCATATGATTTTAGCTTTGTATGCATAAATTAGCTAATCTAATGAATATTCCTATCCTACTATTTTCAATCACGTTTATCATGATATCCACTTGTTGATGGATTCCTCGCACCAATAAGATTTTATCTTTTCCTAAGATGATCAACTAAAGAATAAAATTTATGATAATATAATGCATGATAAAATGAGTCACTAGCATCACATCAAATAGTACAAGAGATTACTTCATATTAACTTCACGTTGCTAAATGTAAAAGTGTTTAGCACATGATGAGCTCAGTACATATATCAATACAGGTTTCTAAGCTAAACATTCTTAAACATATAATGAAAAATAAATAAAAACCTAAGAGTAACTTCTTCGTCTTCTTGCAATCTTCAATCAATAAGAGACAAGTTATATCACGCCATATACTGGTGCTTGATATTTGTTGGATACAAGGATAGAGTATCAGGGTTTGTTATCATCCTCAGGGAATATGTGATATTACCGCCGTTTGACAGTTGTTAAGTTCTTAACTTATAGTAACAAAGGGGTTTTGGTTTTTGGTTACGGTAACTTGCATAAAAAGTAAGAAATTGTGGTAAAAGTTTCGGTTTTACGATTTGAGAAAGATTGTCAAAGTTAGGGTTTGATGGTCACTTTGCATGGATATGTTCGATCAAACAAAACTTATAAACTCCATTAGATGATAAACATATTCACAATATCCTCCCAATGTGATTATTTCTAACACACATTGTGGTTTTTCCCATTTTGATCCATTGTTGATTTCTCACACAATCTATCAAAATGACAACTTTTAGGTTTGACATTTTAGTGAACAAACCTATTCAAAACTATCTCTAGTTCAAGAACAAAGATGGATGAAAACCTAGGTAAAGGTTGGAAAATACCTTTCAATAATAAACTAACACAAAGAGTTATCAATAAAATAAGGTTTTCACCATACTTCATCATCAAAGAGTTTACAAATGAAGATCAACCCATATACACACAAAGCTTATGACCATCTACATCTAACCTTGACAAAATGGAAGACTTATCTATTCATTTTCATGGTAGCTTGAACAAGAAGAAAATGGAGAAGATGAAAGTACATCCGCGTCGAAGAATCGAAGAAGGATGTGATTCCACTTCTCTTGATTACACAATGAGCAAGAGCAAGAAAAACTACTGTTTTTAGGAGTTCTCCCCTAGATTAAAATGTTACAAGATGATATATAAAAAATTGTAAGTTATGATCCCTATAAAGCAAAAATAAAGTACAAAATATCTTCTGTTTGCGCCCATTCGTCAGGCGAAGAGGGGCCTTCGCCAGGCGAACCAAATGAAACAAGACACTTCAAAGTGCCTCCAGCAAGCAAACCGCCCTTCTGAGGTATCGCACCTTTGCCAGGTGAAGGAATCATTCGCCAGGCGAACCTTCGCTGGCTTCACTTGCCAAGCGAAGTTCATGTTGGTTTGCTACTGGAATATCCAAGGATCCTTCGCCAGCTCCTTCGTCAGGCGAATGGTAGCGAAGCTTTAATTCCATAATTCTCCTTTGTGATCATAACTAAGCGCATAATTTCGTCATCTACCTCTTGTCTCACAACCTTAGCTTCATCGCTTTGATTGTTCCTTGGTTTTGCACGACAATCTCTTGCGAAATGATCAAGTCTATGACAATTGTAACACATTGACTTACTCTTGTCAAACTTCTTGAAGTTACTGCCTTGACCACTATCTTTGGAGCTGCTCTCACCCTTTTGCACCATCGAAATCTCCGAATTTTGTAGATCATTTCCACCAAAATTTTGTGAATTTTGCTTCTCCATTCTAAACGGTGGGACATCTTTCTTAGAGCAAGACATCTTTGTGAGAGATACACCACGTATTCACCCAAAACATTAAAGTGATAAGTCGGTGGATTCTCTTACTTATAAATGCTCAAGTCACCACATTTTTATCCAATATGAAACTATTTTTCACACTAATTACACTCGTAATTATTTTTTAACAAAAACTAAATCTTTCACAATGTTTGACTTCTAAGCCCCATCTTTCTTGGCTTTATTTATATTACACAAAGAGTTATTTTTATTCAAAATTATTTATTTTAATTGTGATTGTTGTTTGTCCATACAAATTAAATTTTTTTAATGTGATTGAAGTTTCCAATATTATAATAATAATAATAAATATTAATCAAAATATAGATGGCTAAGATTAGATGAGAAACGTAAACGAGGCAGAAAAATATCAGAAAAGCTGTCTTTAGAAATAATGAATGTGATAACTAATTTACAAGAAAAGTTGACGTGAAGGGATACTGAAAACGTTGTTGTGATGGTTAGTTGTATTAGGAAAATTTGTATGGACACAAATAAAGTTCGAAGGGGACGGTGGGTAGGTTTTATGAAGGTTGGACTTTATCTCTAAATGTTGGACTTTGTTTCTTACAGATTCTAGAACATTTGACAAGTTGTTATATGAGGAAGGAGTGAGATCAATATCTCTAAATAGTGTAAGTGTTTATATTAATATCGTAATTTATCAATTTTATATTAAAGAATAATGTGTCATTTATAAAAACTAAAATATAGTTTTTATAAAAAAATTGGTTTTGTTATTCAAAAACAGATAGTGATCCATCTTATCATTAATTTTTTATTTATATGATAACCAATTATATTATTTTTATAAATTTTTAAACATAAAATATTTTTTCATACTTTTTTTTATTTTTGAAATTAAAATGCAAATATTTATTGTTATTGTATAAAAGGAATTAATACATTAATTAAAATCATCAATTTACTAAAGTATATATTATCGTTGTATTCAAAAAGGAAAATTAATAAATTAAAATAACTACATCTTAATTAGAATTATCAATATAAATATATAATAAGAATCTTTACTTATATTAAGGATTTTGATTATTATTATATAGTTATATTAGTTTTTTTTATTATTATATAATTATATTAATGAATTTTATTAATATAAAGTTTCATTAATTTTTAGTTTTTGAATAATAGAGTTTTTTTTAATTTAATATAGATGTATATTAATGATTTTAATTAAAACTTTAATTTTTTTTATACAATAATATTAAATATATATATTATTATAAAATAAAAAACTCATAAAATTATTTTCTATCAAAATATCTATACAAAATATACAATAGAAAAATAGTATTCATTGCACCTTAAGAAATATGACAACTAAATTACTTTTTATTTATTCTTTAACATAAAATAATTTTATCGGTGGTGGTTGTTATATTATAATTAAATTATAAATATTTATTGTTTATGAATAAAAATAGCAATGAATATATTATTTAAACCAGTAAAACCATTATAAATTAATCCAATTTTTTTTTTGGTTTTAATCAATGTATTAATTTCTATTTTTTATACAGTAATAATAAATATTAGTATATTAATTAAAAAATAAAAAACACTTTCAATAAAATAATTTTATTTTAAAAAATCTTTAAGAATATTTTAATTGGTTATCATAATTTTCAAATTTCAAAAATATCTCTTTTTCTTAAAATATAATATGAATTAAAGTTTGGTATAGACTAAATAAGTTATAATAAAAAAATGATTATGAAAAGAGAAATTGTTCCTGTCCATTAACATCAATTGATTGAAAATGAATGGTTATGACTTATGATCAATCATTATCATTTCTCACAATAACCAAGTGTTCTCATTTGAATCATATTATATATATATATATATATATATGATGAAGTATCTAAAAGGCTAAAATTAATAAGATCATAAAAGGAGAGATGAACTTTATTCATATTCTTTTCTTGTTAACTCTTTCTCCTTTAATTTGCGTTAATAGTGAGCATTTTGTGCTTGTTCATGGAGCATACCATGGGGCATGGTGTTGGTATAAGGTGGCAACTATGCTTAAATCAGCTGGTCATAATGTTACAACTGTTGAATTGGCTGCTTCTGGTATCAACCCAATACAGGTTCAAGATTTTGATTCAATTTCAACTTATTATGAACCTTTGATCACATTTATGGAATCTCTTCCTCCAAATGAGAAAGTGATTCTCGTCGGTCATAGTATTGGAGGAGTGTCTGAATCTGTTGCTATGGAAAAATTTCCACACAAAGTTTCAGTTGGAGTTTTTGTTACTGCGTATGTGCTTAGTCAAAATCTCACATATCCTGCTATTATTCAAGAGGTACTCTACAAAACTCAGATTTGGATCCAACTTTTATGTTTTTAATGTAACAGTTCAGAATTTATAATAAATAATTAAATAAAATAAGTCACCAAAACTTCCGAGCGTCTTCTTTCTCCTATTAAATAACTTTTTTTAGTTAATTATTTATTATAAATTCTGAACCGTTAAATTAGAAACATGAGAGATAGTAGGATATAAAAAAAAAGGAGAGGATCCAAATCCAGACAAGTATTTTATTTTTTCCATTCAAAACTATATTAAATTAGTTACTATCTTGCAGGAAGGTAGAAGGATCACTAATTTAATGGACTCAAAGTTTTTTTATTTTGATGGACCTGACAAACCTGCAACTGCTAGATTGGTTGGACCCAAATTCCTGGCAACCAGGCTGTATCAATTATCACCACCTGAGGTATATATAAACATTTTCAGATGAATTTTACTAACCTTTTGAGGCTTAATGAATGTAACTCCAAGTTAAATTGTGTAGGATTTGACCCTTGCACTGTCCTTGGTGAGACCTGATCGACTTTATAATGATGTTGAATTATTGAAGAAGGAAACAGCAGTTACCAATGATAGAAATGGAAGGGTACCTAAGATTTTTATCATCAGTAAAAGTGATGAGTTAATAACAGAAGATTTTCAAAAGTGGATAATTGAGAGAAGTGGTCCATTTGCTGAGGTGAATGTGATTGAGGATTCTGATCACATGGTTATGTTCTCTAAACCAAACATGCTTACTTCTATTCTTCTAAATATTGCACAGAAATACTAAAATTAAATTATAATCATATATATGGTATTCTTCATACTTACTATGTCCCAAACAATTATGTGTATGGGTTGGGATTATATTTACATTATGAATTACGATTGTGATCTCTATTTAATAAGAATAATTTGATTGTTCGTGTTGTTTGTTAAATTAATTTTTGTGTTTCAATATATTTCTTCAAATTAATTATATATATAGAGACCCACAAATTATTAGCGGTTTCATAGCTGCTATTCATTTCATAAAAAATGTGATATCAAATATCATATTTTTATCCATCTCATTAATATTAAGATTTTTGAAATTCTGTATCTCGGAGAATAGATGTGGAATATGATGTCACAAATAATAGACTCGATAATATAAACTAGAACCTTGACAAATTAAGTAGAACAAGATAATGGAGCATAAGCAATAAGGAACCCAGGAATTGATAACTCAGTTCAAAGCAAACAGCATTTACGTCTGAAAGGTTGGCTTCCAATTTAAAAAAGAAAATTCACTCTTAGTAATTTAGTACAATTAATTTTACAAGCAACAACAAGCCCTAAGTTGTTCAATACCTCTTACTAATGTTGCCTAATGACTTTTTATTTAAGAATCCACATAAATATGATAAACCCTCTCACTTTCTCTCAATCACTAATCTCTAGTGATTGGTGTTTAACTCAATTATCAATGTCGAATATTACAATTTAACTAAACAAACCTTTTATGCCAGATTACTAAAATAGAGATATTTACATAATAATGCTGAATTTACAACTCAACTAGACAAACCTACAACTATGTCAAATTACTGAAATTTAGTGTGGTTTATATAAATATAACAAGGACTCTTATAAACCTATCACTCTAAAATTTTCAATGTAAATGTTTGCTTTTCAATGTAGGTTTGAGCTCCTTATATAGCTAATAACTATAGGCTTTTCTCCTTAGATCATTGTTTTAATTTTGTCTAGAATTAATGCAAAATTTGTTCGACATAATCTGTTCCATAAGTTTCTCTAATAAGATATGATTTATTTCAATTTAAATCTTCATTTAAATCTGAATCAATCTTGATTTAGCTTTCAAACAAATCACTATTTAATCATATTGCTAAACCAATAGCAATAAAATCTTATTCAATCTTTAAACAAAATCGCAACAACGTTGACATTTTACAAAATACAAACAATCCAAAAGAAAAATCTAATAAAAACTACAATTTTTTAAATAATTTTTTTTATACCTTTTACCACATCTAACGTTTTGACTATAGTCTATATGATCATTTTTCTTATTAAAAAGATATATTGGACTTCTCTTTACATGTTCTAACTATATCAAATTAGGATTAAGTTTATATATATATATATATATATATATATATATATATATATATATATATATATATATATATATATATATATATATATATATATATATATATATATATATATATATATATATAACATGTCAACATGTGTGTGTTGAACAGTCCAAAATAACCAACTGTTAACAAAATTCAAGTTTGTGTAACTACCTTCTTTATATAATTCTTTTAGACCATCTTTAGTGGGAGTAAACTAAATGAGTAAACTAAGATACTTTTTGTGAGCCCAAAGTGATTTGTAGGATTTAAAAAATTTATAGTTGATTTGAATAGTTTTTACTTTAATGGTGGTTGTCTATAAGAAACCAAAACTTGACCCCACATTTTATATTTTTTATTCAAGTTACCATTAATTTAATTATTTTAATTAAAATACATATAATTTTTTAAATAAAATTTACCTTAAAAACTTAAAAATAATATTAAATATATTTTATTATAAAATTAAAAATGATACAAAATTCACGACAATAATACATAAAAGAAAATTACATTTTCATAGGAATATAATTATAATAAGGATTCAATTGGTTGAGATCCATTTGATAAATAAATAAGATTGAAAATTGAAAGAAAAAAATTTAAAAGTAAAACTGTGTAAAAAAAATTAAAATTTCTATAGAATTTATAGAAGGTAAAAAATGATAATATGACCGTTACTATTTTCAAATATCATACCCTTACTTTAATATATATTTGGAATATTTTATTAATATTAAATAATATTATAATAGGTTTTACATGGTTAACGTTAACTATATAGATGATGGGAACTAAATTTTAGTTCACTTGGATGTCATATCAGCTCTCCTATAATGCAAATTTCTTATTACTAACGTAAGCTATAAAAAAATTTGGTTTAACAATCCAGCGTTAAAGTTGCTCTTAGTAAAATATCTAAGGGAAGGGAAAGATAATTGGGCCAAAGCACAATTCTCAATACAATGAGGGCCCAACCTTTATTTGTAATAACCTTCTTTCTTTCTCAAGGTGATTGATCAAAGGTGAATTTGTCAACCACTCTAAGTTTGTTCCTTAGTGTTATAAACATGTTTTGGATAAGGGTTTAGTGAGCATAACATTCCACCAATCTTGCAATAATATGCGACACTGGTAGGCTGTTGTTAATCACTTTTTTTTCTAACAAAAAAGAAACCTAACTCCAAATGTTTTCTCTTGGAGTTTAGAATATGGCTATCAGAAAGAAACATTGCAATTAGATTATCACACAATTTTTTTAGAATTTGATGATTGACCTCGAGACTCTGTAATAAGAATGGTAGTTATAATATTACTGCAATTTTTTGAGTCAAGTTTTTGTCAATACAATAAAAAACACATTTTATTTCAGACGCAAAGTGGATTGTACCTCAGTTACATATGCGAGGTAACGAAGGGCGACATGAAAACTTTTCACTTTATCCTTCGTTTTCTAAATAACAGATAAGATATTTGAAATGGTCCTAAGTTTGATCTCCAAAAAATCCTTTTTATAATTTTTAAATGGTTAAAACACATATCACTTCGGTTTTAAAATGTAATTGGCGGGTAAACAAGCTTGAGTTTATTATATCCAATTTGGATTGTTTGTATCATTTATGTTAGCTAAACATATAATTTTTTAAATTGATTTACAAAATAATTATATGAACAATTATATTACAAGTTACACTAATTAATTATTTTTGAACATTTTTTACCTCATCATTCATCTCATGTTATTTAATGGTTAAAATCTCTCCAATGCTTTTAGTTTTCGTTCAACTTTCTTCCATATTTTTTCAATGAACAAGTATAAAAGAAAGTTGAACAAAAACTAGAAGCATTAGAGATATTTTAACCATTAAAGAATGTGAGATGAATGATGAGTTATAAAATGCTCGAAAAGCATTGATTAGTGTTAGATGTTTTTCAAATACAACATAACTTTTCATATTATTATTTCCAAAAACAATTAATATATTATATGTTCAAAGAGGGGTTAGTGAAACAAACAATCGACATTAGATATAATAAACTCATTTTTATATTTTATCACTATAATATCCTCTTGATATGTTTAGAATAATAAGATGAGAGCTACACAAAGAATAACGAAAAAACATAATCTTAGTCTCAAACTCAAACTCAAACTAAATAAGAACAACTAAACCCTAAACGTATAGATTTCAAAACTTTGCTAAGTATAATAATTAGACGACGACAATAACATCAACAACTCAAAAACAACAATAAATAACAACAACATTAACATTATTTCAATGTAAACAACAACTAACATTAAAAAACTGCTTAAGAAATAATCTCTCAACCAAAATACAAGAACATTAACAATAAACCTTTAACATCAATCTCAATAAACCTACAACAAATTTATCTCAATAAAAACAACAATATATAACATCAATTTCAGTTTTAATAATAATAATAATAATAATAATAATAATAATAATAATAATAATAATAATAATAATAATAATAATAATAATAATAATAATAATAATAATAATAATAATAATAATAATAATAATAACAAAATTAAACTTCTAAAATTTCGGGTCTCAATAACAACAAAAAAACAAAAACAAAAACAACAACAAGAACAATATTACTGTAAAATTAATAGTACATGTGTATTCACCACTAGAAAAATATTATTTAGCGTCGGCCTTTTTCGCAGCTATACACTAAAAAACCAACGCTACAACATGTTTAGTGTCAGTGTCGGGGCAGTCTAAATCATTCGAAGTTAACACGTTAGCGTCGGTCATTTTACTCTGTGTCTAACTTAGCGTCGGTTTGACCGCGTCTACACCGAGGCTAACTTACAACCGACGCTAAAGAACCAAATGTCACAAAAAGTCAACCATAACATTAGCATCGGCCTAGCCACGTCTTAAGTCAATTTTAAAAAGTCAAACTTTAATTAGCCTCGGCATAACTAAAACTAAAGTCAACTTTTAAAAGTAACAAAAAACTACCTTAGCATCTGCCTTGCCGTGGTTAAAGTCAACTTTAAAAAGTCAAATTTTGTTTGCTTCGGCTCCACCGAGGCTAAAGTCAACACTAAAATTTCAGTTAGCTTCGGTCCTGACTAAGGCTAAAGTCAATTTAAAAAGTCAAACCTTGTTAACTTCAGTCTAGTCAAAACTAAAGTTAACAAAAAAAACTCAGTTAGTTGCAGTTTGATCGAAGCTAAAGTCAACTAAAAAGTCAACATATTTAAAAAAGACATGTGATTCTTGGATTATACATTTTGTCACAACTAATTTTGTTACAACTAACAGTACCAGAAGCTAAATTCAACTTTCAACAAGAAAGCTATTGATAGAATGAAATAGAAATTCAGCAAAATCACAAATTCTTTTAATATAACTTTGATGTCCAGACAAGAAAACATGTTGTCATATTCTCCCTCACATGAAGCATAATTAAAATTATAATCTATACAAAAAATTACCAGCACGTTGAGAAAACACTTATGAGTACATCATTGTACAATGTTACAAACTAATTAGAAACAAAGCTTTATACAACTTGCACACAATTAGTACTCAAATTTCTCTTTTTAAGACTTGCTTCCTATGATTTTGAGTAAGACGAGTAGCTTAGGATTCATGTG